TTTTTTTTTTTTTTTTTTTCAATTTTTTGCAGAGATGGGGTTTCACTGTGGTGCTCAGGCTGGTCTCAAAACTCCTGGGCTCAAGGAATCCTCCCACCTCAGCCTCCCAAACTACTGAGATTACAGGTGTGAGCTACTGCACCCAACCTTAATATTGTCTTTTGTGTACATGTTATTTTATGTGGTCAAGATCAGTACTGCCCTTTTTCTTTTGTTAAAGAGATAGGGTCTCACTGTGTTACCCAGGCTAGAGTGCCGTGGAGTGGCAATTCACAGATGTAATCATAGCACACTATGCCCTTGAATTCCTGGGCTCAAGCGATCCTCCTGCCTCAGCCTCCCAAGTACCTGGGACTAGAGGCATGTGCCGCAGCACCTGGCTTAATCTTGCCTTGTTTTTTGTTTGTTTTGTAGAGACGAGGTCTTGTTATGTTGCCTAGGCTGGTCTTGAACTCCTGGGCTCAAGTGATCTTCCCACTTCAGCCTCCCAAAGTGTTGATATTACGGGTGTGAGCCACGGCACCCAGCCAGTCTTACCTTGTTTTTTTTTTTTTTTTTTGAGATGGAGTTTCACTCTTGTTACCCAGGCTGAAGAGCAATGGCACAATTTCAGCTCACCGCAACCTCTGCCTCCCCAATTCAAGCGATTCTCTTGCCTCAGCCTCTTGAATAGCTCAGATTACGGGCATGAGCTGGCATGCCCGGCTAATTTTGTATTTTTAGTAGAGATGGGGTTTTTCTATATTGCTCAGGCTGGTCTCGAACTCCCGTCCTCAGGTGATCCACCCGCCTCAGCCTCCCAAAGTGCTGGGATTACAGGTGTGAGCCACCACGCCCAGCCAGTCTTGCCTTGTTTTTTTTTTTTATTATTATTTTTTACCTTAATTTATTTTATTTTTTATTGCATTTTAGGTTTTGGGGTACATGTGAAGAATATGCAAGATTGTTGCATAAGTACACACATGGCAGTGTGGTTTGCTGCCTTCCTCCCCATCACCTATATCTGGCATTTCTCCCTATTCTCTCTCTCCCCAACCCCCCACCCCCCACTGTCCCTCCCCTATTTCCCCTCAAGAGACCCCAGTGTGTGATGCTTCCCTCCTTTTGTCCATGTGTTCTCATTGTTCAACACCCACCTATGAGTGAGAACATGCAGTGTTTGATTTTCTGTTCTTGTGTCAGTTTGCTGAGAATGATGGTTTCCAGGTTCATCCATGTCCCTACAAAGGACACGAACTCATCGTTTTTTATGGCTGCTCTTGCCTTGTTTTAAGGCAATGCTCTAGCATTGCTATGTAAGCATTTTTCCATATTGCTATTAGCTGGTTATACATTCTTTGTAGAAAACCTAGAATCAGACCCAAGTATATAAGGGAACTTGTTATATGATAGGTGTCATAAATCAACATGGAAAGGATTAATTTTTGAAAAGTTTGTGCTGAAAAAAGATAAAAGTTATATTCCTACCTGATACCACACACATATGCATTATAGATGGATTAAAAACCTCAACAGACTAAAATTTGGGGGGGGGGGATATTTTATGATCCTGAGGAAGGAAAGAGTACCTCAAGATCTTAAAAGCAGAAACCCCAAAGAAAATAGTCTATTTGAATCAATTCAAACTAAAAATTTCCATATAATAGAAGCTACCATAAATAAAGTGATGAAATGAGCCCTTGTTGGGAAGATATTTGCAATATATAAAATTGACTGACTATATAGAGAGCTCTTACAGGTAAATTTTAAAAAGACATACACCTGCATAGCAAAAAGGATGAATAGGTATTTCATAGAAGAGAAAAACAGAGTAGCTAATAAATAAACGAGGAGATGTTCAACCTCACCTAACAAGCAGAAGTACACAAATTAGACAACAAGCCATCATTTTACACCCATCATATGGGCAAAAATGTCTTCATAATCACGTCGGTAAGGATGTGGGGAAAGGGTTCATCTTAACAATGTTGCCGGGCACCGTGGCTCACGCCTGTAATCCCAGCACTTTGGGAGGCCAAGGTGGGCAGATCATGAGGTCAGGAGATGGAGAACATCCTGGCAAACACGGTGAAACCCCGTCTCTACTAAAAATACAAAAAGGTACTCGGGCGTGGTGGCAGCACCTGTAGTACCAGCTACTCGGGAGGCTGAGGCAGGATAATCGCTTGAACCTGGGAGGCAGAGGTTGCAGAGAGCCAAGATCACGCCACTGCTCGCCAGCCTGGGCAACAGAGTGAGACTGTCTTAAAAAAAAAAAAAAAAAAAAAAGTTGTCAGGAACATAAGCTGCTTCAGCTGCTTCGAAGAGAAATGAGGTGATATACAGTGGAAGACACCGATGCTCTGTGATTCAGTAATTCCACTTCTTCGTAGATAAATCATCATGTGTACAAGAATGTACATGTATAAGGATGAACAAGCATGTTTACTGCAACACTATAATAGTAAAATCTAGCTCTTCTTCTGTAGGGTAATGGATGAATGAACTGTTTTAGTCACATAGTGGAATGGTTCAGAGGAGTCAAAAATGGCACAATAAATTTGCATGAATCAACAGGGATAAATTCCCTAAAGCATAATGTGTCGGGAGTTTGAGACCAGCCTGACCAAGATGGAGAAAACCCATCTCAACTAAAAACTTCAAAAATTAGCCAAGTGTGGTGGCGCATGCCTGTAATCCCAGCTACTTGGGAGGCTGAGGCAGGAGAATCACTTGAACCTGGGAAGCAGAGTTTGCAGTGAACCGAGATCGTGCCATTGCACTCTAGCCTGGGCAACAAGAGCGAAACTCTGTCTCAACAAAAAAGTCTAAAGATTGGTAGCTTTTCTCTAGTTAGATGATCAGATGAAATCCAAGGGAAAAAAATCAGTAACTTTTCTCCACATTACCATAAATACCTAGAAATAGAAACAAAAAAAATTTGCAACAATAAAAGTTATAAAATACCTAGGAATAAATGTTATAAGCTGTAAACAATAGTTTTTTTCAAAAAACTATGGAGAAACCTCGTTTCTACTTAACAAATACAAAATAAGCTGGGCGTGGTGGGGCATGCCTGTAATCTCAGCTGCTTGGAAGGCTGAGGCAGGAGAATCACTTGAACCTGGGAGGTGGAGGTTGCGGTGAGTTGAGATTGCGCCTTTGTACTCTAGCCTGAGCAACAAGAGCAAAACTCCATCTCAAAAAAAAAAAAAAAAGCTCCCCAGTTGCTTTTAATACATGGCCAGGGTTGACAACCGTTGGTTTAGATAAAGAAAACTCAGATCTTATCAGGAGAAAACAAGCTCTGGAGCCAAGTGCAGTGGCTCATGCCTGTAATCCCAGCACTTCGGGAGGCTGAGGTAGGTGGATCACTTGAGCCCAGGAGTTTGAGACCAGGATGGGCAACATGGTGAAAGCCCATCCCTACAAAAATTTCAAAAATTCTCCTGGCATGGTGGTGCAAGCCTGTGGTCTCAGCTACTCAGGAGGCTGAGGTGGGAGGATCGCTTGAGCTTGGGAGGTTGAAGCTACAGTGAGGTGTGATCCCATCACTGCACTCCAGCCTGGGCAGCAGAAACCCTGTCTCAAAAACAACCAAACAAAAAACAAATTCCAGACAGATTAAGGACCTATGTTGAAATAATAAGCAATATTTTACAAGAAAATGTAGTCCAGTGTATAGTCTAGAACTGAGGATACTTTTATAATGAAGATTAGAAACCCAAATAGCTATATATTGTGTTTTCGTTTTTGTTGTTTTTTGAGACAGAGTCTTGCTCTGTCGCCAGGCTGGAGTGCAGTGGTGCACTCTCAGCTCACTGCAACCCCCGCCGTCCTGGTTCAAGTGATTCTCCTGCCTCAGCCTTCTGAGTAGCTGGAACTACAGGTGCATGCCGCCAAGCCCAGCTAATTTTTTGTATTTTTAGTAGAGATGGGGTTTCTCCATGTTGGTCAGGATGGTCTTCATCTCCTGACCTCATGATCTGCCCGCCTTGGCCTCCCAAGGTGTTGGGATTACAGGTGTGAGCCACTGCACCCGGCCTGCTATATATTAAATATATAAACTTTTAAATTTCTATAGTTATATTTTATATTTTATTTATATTTTTATTAAATAAAATATACTTTTATATTTTTATTAAATATAAAACTTTTAAATTTTTATATTTTTATTAAATATAAAAACTTAAATTTCTATAAAACCTGAAAATATGAAATATGACAAAGGATACCATAAACAGTGTCAATAGGTAAATAGTAAATCTGGGGAAATATTTTAATATAGAAGGCAAACAAAAGAATAAACAGCTTTTACCTATTGACAGGAAAAAAAAAAGGATATGAAAAGCAAAGAATATAAAAAGAAAGCTCCCAGAAAAGTTTATCAAATGACACATTTAAAGATGCTCAAATTTAGGCCAGGTGAGGTAGCTCATGCCTATAATCCCAACACTTCGGGAAAATGACATGAGGGGATCTCTTGAGGCCAGGAGTTTGAGACTAGTTTGGGCAATGTAATAAGACTTCATCTCTACAAAATATTTAAAAATTAGCTGGGTGTGTGTTCCAGCTACTCGAGAGGCTCACTTGAGCCCAGGAGGTCAAGGCTGCAGTCAACCAAGATCATACCATTGCACTCCAACCTGGGTAACGGACTGAGACCCTGTTTCAAAAAATAATAATAAAAATTAGCTGAGCATGGCAATATGCGCCTGTAGTCCTAGCTATTCAGGACGCCAAGCCGGGAGGATTGCTTGAGCCCAGGAATTCAAGGCTGTGGTGAGTTACAGTCATGCCACTGCACTCCAGTCTGGGCAACAGAGCAAGACTCTGTTTCCTAAATAAATCATGAATAAATAAATATTTACTGCTGTATGTGGAAACTTGAAGGAAATAAGACATTTTCAGATACAAAGGTTTGAAAAACTTTCCCCAGTATGTCATGTCTCAGAAGCTATTAAAGGATGTTCTCCGTTGTAAAGAGGCAGTAAACCTAGAAAGCAAAGATGGAGACTTACCCAGGAGTAAGTCTTGGCGCAGGACAATATTGGAGGGTAGTCCTGAAAGGTAGCTGTGTCCCAGGCCTACGGAAAACGGGTCCAGATTGCACTAGGGGGCAGAAGACTCCAGGAAGGAAGGTTCCAAAAATCACAGTGGAAGCTGGCATCGCTGGCTGCTATCAAAATGAACTGTTCATTGTGTTAGGACTGTTAGGGCTAAATTAATGACATACTGAAATCTAAGTAAATAGAAAAAAGCAAAGATATTAATTTCAGGGGAAACAGTTATACAAGAAAGGAAGTGTGATTATAGGAAATATAAAAATGCAATCACTCGGTTTAGCTCTGAACTCTGTTGACATAGTCGTGATAGGGAAAATAGGGATTTCATAAGAAATTGTTTTGTAAACCTATTTGGAAAGTTGCAGGTACAGAATCTGTGTGTATCTGTGTGTGTTGGTGGTGTTGGTGGGGATGAGTTACCTGCCCAAAGCAGAAACTCAATAGACAATGTCTCCAATATCAGTGTCTCGTTTTTTTTTTGTTTGTTTTTGAGACAGAGTCTCTATCGCCCAGGCTGGAGGGCAGTGGCACAATCATGGCTCACTGCAACCTCTGCCTTCAAGTTCAAATGATTCTTATGCCTCAGCCCCCCAAGTAGCTGGGATTACAGGTGCCTGCCAGTGTAATCCCAGCTACTCTAGAGGCTGAGGTGGGAGGATCACTTGAGCCCAGGAGGTCCGGCTAATTTTTGTATTTTTAGTAGAAACGGGGTTTCACCATGCTGGCCAGGCTAGTCTCGAATTCCTGACCTTAAGTGATCTGACTCCCTTGGCCTCCCAAAGTACTGGGATTACTGGTGTGAGCTACTGTCCCCGGCCTTTTTTTTTCCTTTTTCTTTTCTGTATTAAAAAATAATTCACAATATTTTAAAAGGATATGTCGGCAAATAGACATGTACACAAAAAAGGCCACTGATGCATAATGACATCACTCACAAATGCTCACTGTTCTACTAGTTGATTCAGCCACAAGTCCATAGACAGGCTTATAACAGAGTGAAGCCAGGAACTGTCTCTGAGCAGAGCTGTAACAGCTTCTGTCAGTAAGAGGGGAATTACCTTCAGGAGTGGGCAAGGAAGGAAGTTGGCTGCCATCTTTAGAGTTCCACTGCCCTGACCAAGTCTCCACATTCAAAATCTATAGTGCCCATCCCTCACCTAATAGTGGTTCCTGGCCCAAGGCGAGACTGTCCTTTCAAGGAGTGGATGAGGGTGCCAACAGATGGGCTTGGGAGGGAGGGCCACACCCCTGCCATCTTGCTCTCCTGGTGTAGCTGACAGCTGCCCACCCCCACCCCACACCATGGGCTTCTGAGTTAGCAGATCAGGAATTTTATTTTATTTATTTTTGAGATGGAATCTCACTCTGTTGCCCAGGCTGGAATGCAGTGCCACGATCTCAGCTCACTGCAGCCTCCGCCTCCTGGGTTCAAGTGATTCTCCTACCTCAGCCTTCTTAGTAGCTGGGATCACAGGTGTGCAACACCATGCCTAGCTAATTTTTGTATTTTTAGTAGAGATGGGGTTTCACCATGTTGGCCAAGCTGGTCTCGAACTCCTGACCTCAGGTGATCCCCCCGCCTTGGCCTCCCAAAGTGTTGGGATTACAGGCATGAGCCACTACGCCCAGCCATAGATGAAGCATTTTATAAATTGTATTTTATTATTTATTTATTTATTTATTTATTTTTCTTCTTTCTTTCTTTTCCATTTCTTGCCATCCAGTAACATATAAATTGTATTTTAAATTCATGTTTTAAGCTTGTCAAAAATAATCACTTAACATTTTAATATATCTCCCTCCAGTATACACTGAAATATATATGTTCATACATGTGTAAGTACGCAACATTTGTGCATGTATTTACTGTTATTAAAATGGGTCATATCATATAGTGCTTCCCAAATGCCAGTCCATGGGCTCTTTACATGAGAATCTCCTGAGAACCTTTTCAGAAATGCTCAAAAGCTCATCCCAGAAAATTCAGTTCAGTAGTCTGTGGTTATGATATATAGTCAGGTCTAGGGATACTTTCTAAGTGGCTTTGTTACTGTCAGTTAATATTTTTCTCCCTTGTTACTTTTTTTCTTTTTTTGAGATGGAGTGCAGTGGCATGATCTTGGCTTACTGCAACTTCCGCCTCCTGGGTTCAAGCAATTCTTCTGCCTCAGCCTTCTGAGTAGCTGGGACTACTGGCGTGCGCCACCATGCCTGGCTAATTTTTTTGTGTTTTTAGCAGAGGCAGGGTTTCACCATTTGGCCTAGCTGTTCTTGAACTCCTCACCTCAAATGATCTGCCTGCCTCAGCCTCCCAAAGTGTTGGGATTGCAGGTGTGAGCCACTGTGCTCGGCCTCCTCATTACTTTTTGTGGCTCTAAGGTAGTCCAATTCTATAAGACTTGGTAAGCGGTCATTTTTTGTCCCCAGGAAAAGAGAGGGAGCAAAGCATCCGATAAAGCCAGTATCATGGCCTTTGATGCCCTGGTGACCTTCTGTGAAGAACTGGGGTAAGTGACTTATTTTGTACATGGAGCCAAGTGTCAGTGACATCATTTACTCCCCCGGCACCCCTTAGTTAAGCAGCTGACGTAAGACAGCCTGTAGGCTACCAAGGGACCCTCGCCTACAAAGGCCGTTGCATTGGGCAGCGTGGAAGTCAGGACCTTGCTGTCCTCTATTGGAGGCCCCAGGAACTCTGGCAGTGTGGGGATTTGCTCAGCATTCTGGGTGGTATCCTTCCCCCCACTCCACCCTCTTCTGAGGTGGCTGGCATCATAGGCCACTCAGTCCCAAGGGATGTGACCAGCTCTGAGCTGTCAGCTTTGTAGTCATTGTGTGCCACCGAGCTGGGACTTCTGGCTTCACTTGAGCAGTCCTCACCCTTATCCAGGACCCACACAGAAGCCCGTGGCCCCGCTTACCTCAGGGAGTCATGTGCTTTGAATCCACTCATCTGCTTTACCTGCATCTTCAGGCAATGGGGCTAGGACCCTGGAAAGAGCCAAAGGACTGCTCAGTGTAGTCAGGTCGTGTCCAGGCACGTGGAGCTGTGAGTGCCTGGGTGAGGGACACCAGGAGGAGTCATTTACATTTTGGTCTAAAAAGTTTTTGGATTCATCTGATCTCATGGAATGATCCTGTGAGGGGATGATGCTGACGTGACTGCATCAGACTTAGGTGAATAAATCGAGGTCCAGGGAGGTCACAGTCGCAAAACTCATGGTAGACTGAGGCTACTAAACCCCATCTCCTGATTTTCAGTGGTGTGCTCATTTTCATACACCTGGGCCATCTTGGTTTTTGCAAGAGGAGCGTCCTGAAGCACGATGCTAAGTGCACGGAACCGGTGTCTAGCAGATGTTTGGGCTCTCCTCAGGGAATCAGAGCAGCTCTTCTTTGGGCTGTATATTTTTATTTCTACCTCCTCCTATTCACCGCTGAGTCGGTGGCTCCTGGAATGAAGCTATTTTCTTCTCCAAACTGCCATCTCTAATTTGGCCTCTGTGGCACGACCACGCCCAGCAGAAGTGGTTGGCTGTAGTGCCAGGACCACCCTTGGCCTGCAGCCGTTGTGACCAGAGCCCTTTTCAAGCACAATTAATACAGGGGTTGCTAAATTTGGCCTTCTTAGGCTTCTTGAGCAGAGCTCTCATTTCTGGTGAGGAATGAAAGGGCCAAGTGTTTCTGTTCGTTGTGAGTCCTCTTTGCTGAAAAAAAGCCCTGGGGCTGTCTGAGGCTCTGGAAGGCTCTCTGGAGGGTTAACACTGGCTATCCCCAGGGTCTGCTCAGCCTGCCAGGCAAGGGAACAGGTCCTCCTAAGGGCCTCTGCCTTTGTTTCTCCTGTCATCTTGCAGGGAGCTGGGAATTCTTAGTGCATCAGTGACCTGATTGCCAGGGGCTGGGGTCCAGGCATCTGTGGACCCGAGGAGTCCAGGTGACAGCCTCAAGCTGCCTCTTGTGCAGCCTCGTACCTGTCTCCTTTGCTATGTGTGATGGTTCTGAAATCCAGGCGGCAGGCTGTAACAAACACTGCTGGTATGTTGGTATTGGCTACTGTTCTTCGAATAAGTGAATGTTTCTTAACTGGTGTATAGCACAAAGAAAGAGCCCCTTCTCCACCAGATATTTGCTCCCTAAGAATGGTTCCCGTTGAAGGCTGAAGTTGAAGCAGCCTCCCACCAGCAATCCCTTGGGGTAGGCACCTGGCGGCTCAGCCGAAGTAGGTACATTTCTGCAAAGGAAGCTGTAGGTTTCCTGTCAGTTTGTTATGGGGTCTGACCAGGTCCTTGGGTCAGTGACTAATGAGGCGGGGCTGCGGCAGCCAGCGGTTTCCTTTCCTCTCTGCATGTAGTTACTTTCTCTGGGCTACAGCCTTGAAAAAGCAGTGTTTGATTATTCATGACAATGAGCATCTTTTAGAATCATGAGGAAAAGTCATTAGGTTTGAAGCAACCTCTAGCTTAAGGCTTCAGCATTTTGAGATAGAAGAGCAGCCTTATATTTAGACCTGGATTGAACTGGGCCCTGTTGTCTCCTGGGATCTTGGGGCTGGGAGTGCCTGGCATCTTCTTATCTGTGTGTTTGCTCATTCATTCATTTACTCAGCCAACAAATATTGACTGATGCCAACTCTGTGCCAGGCACGTTGAACATGGGGAATACAATGGTGGGCAGAAAGAGCCCCGCCCCTGCTTTATGGTGCTTGGTCCAGTGGGGAAGAGAGCACTACAGACACAGTAGAGACATGTAAGTCCCAGAGCTGGCCATGGTGGCTCACACCCGTTTTTTTGAGATGGAGCCTTGCTCTTGCTGCCCAGGCTGAAGTACAATGGCGTGATCTCGGCTCATTGCAACCTCTGCCTTCAGGGTTCAAGTGATTTTCTTGCCTCAGCCTCCTGAGTAGCAGGGATTACAGGCCTGTGCCACCATGCCCAGCTAATGTTGTATTTTTAGTAAGAGTCAGCGTTTCTCCATGTTGTTCAGGCTGGTCTCGAACTTCCGACCTCAGGTGATCTGCCCGCCTTGGCCTCCCAAAGTACCGGGATTACAGGCATGAGCCACCGCTCCTGACCAGACTCACACCTTTTATACCAGTACTTTGGGAGGCTGAAGTGGGAGGATCACTTGAGCCTGGCAGTTCAAGACCAGCCTGGGCAACATGGCAAGACCCTGTCTGTACTAAAAATACAAAAAAAAAAAAAAAAAAAAAAAAAACCCCAAAAACCACACACACAATTAGCCAGGCATGGTGGCACATGCCTGTAGTCCCAGCTGCTCAGGAGGCTGAGATGGGAGGATCACCTGAACTCAGAAGCCAAACCTACAGTGAGCCAAGATTGTGCCACTGCACTCTAGCCTGAGCGATGGGCGTGAGACCCCATCTCAAAAAAAAAAAAAAAAAAAAAAAGACATGTAAGTCCTGTAAATGGTATTTTGAGAGTATAAAACAGGTGGCCTTACCCTAATCCTCAAGGGTTAGGGATGATTTACCTGAGGGAGTCAGGTTCAAACTGAGATATGAAGGATGAGGAAGGACTAACTAAGCCATGGAGTAAGAGCATCCCAGTCAATGAGAATAGCATGTGCAAAGACCCTGTGGTGGGAGAGAACACGGCATATTCCAGAACTGAAAGACATGCTGAGAACCCAGGGGCAGGGTGGGATGGGATGAGTGAGTGAGATGGCTGGAGACAGGCGGGCCAGACCGCATAGGGACCTGCAGGCCCGGGTGAGGCTTTGTTCGGGAAGCTTGCCCTGGTGGCTATATCTAGATTAAAAATGAGCTCTCACAACTTAGCAGATTTGAAAAGGAATTTTTTCTTCATTTGGTTGTCTTTTTCTGTCAAGGATTTGTGAAATTGCTGGCTGGGCCTGTGAGCCTGTTAGAGAACCTTGTTAGCCATTGCTCCTTCCACCAGAGCCAGTGGAGCTGTCCTCTCCATGTGCTTTTAGGGTTCCCTAAAAACAATAGGGTCAGGAACCCAGAATTGGTCTTAGACCAGCCTCCCCATCTTGTTAGTCTGAGTAACCCTAAGCCAGATGCAGCATTTTCCTAGATTCTTTCCTGGTGGGAAAAGAAGACACCAGGGCTTGGCCCCTGAGCCAGAGGCAATCACAGAGGGACCCACTACCAGAATAGGGGGAGGTCAGCTCGCCTCCCCCTGCTGCCATCTCAGCCCCTAGGAAGTCAGGTCACTCCTCTTCACGCTTTTCACACTGGGTGTTTTTTGTGGAAGTGAGTAAATCAAACATGATGGCAAATAAGATGAGAAGCAGGACAGCGGCGATGAATAAGATAATCACTGCCAGGCCCCCCTGGTCCCAGGGGTTCTGCCAGAACTCATCATTCCAGATTGTCTTCTTGATTACTAGTTGGTCCATGAGAATCTGGAAAAGAGGGACAGAGGACCTGAGTGCAGGCGGCCCTCCCAGGCCCTGTCCCAGGTGCTCTGCTCTGCTCCCTGACTCAAGTCTCTGTAGCAGCCTCTGTGAGCAGCCAGCCTCCCCAGCAGCTGGGGGAATGGAAGGGCTGGATAGTCTTTGTGATCAGTGCCTCCAGCCAGCAGCAAATGGTGTTTCCCCACTCTAGCTATAGGAGCCAGGACTGGTGCAAGAAGGGGGTCCCTGGATTCTTCCTGGGGGCTGCCCCTGGATTCTCTAATCCTTCTTTCCTGAGTAGCCCTGGCATGAGCAAGAACTTTCTCTCCCATTCCCAAGACCTGCTTGGCTGGAATCTAAAAAGTACTACGATAGATCCTCCCGGTTTTTCCCGCCCCAGCTGCCAAACATTTGGGAGGCATTCGAGAGATCTGTATAGCAGCCAAGGAGGGGCCAACTCCACCTGAGGCCTCGGTAGGCTTCTTGGAGACAGCTGAGAACAGAACTTCTAGAAGCAGAGCTCGTTATCACAGACTGCAAGCCTGTAGCCAGGTGAGGGGCCCAGGTGGGGAAGGAGGGAGCCATTACCTGATTCTGCTGGGTAGCCGTCCTGGGTCCTACAAGGGCAATTCAGGGTGGTCCTTCAGGCCTACACTTTGTGAGGGGCTGAGCTGAAGAGGCTGCCAGGTGACCAGAGGTGCACCCGGACTCAAAGAAGCCACTGTCGAGAGGAAAAGGCGTGAGCATGGCCAAGGGGCCCTGACCATACCTTCATTGCTGTCACCAAAGCAAACAAAGGTGGGCTAGGCTGGTTGCCTGGCAACCGTGGCTCCCTTTCTGCCTTTCACATTCCCCCATCAGCTGCTTTCTGCCCTTGTGTGATGTCATTTGGGGGTGCTCAGGACACATGTGTTAATGAGTCCCTCCTGAGAGAAGACAGATTTGGGGTGGATGGGGAAGAGACTGGACCCAGGGCCTTTGCCCCAGGCCATCAGGCCACCTCACCTGTGGCTGGTCTGGACTGGGCTGTCCCATCTGGATGATGTGTGGACTGAGGGGACCTGTCCGGAGCTCAGGAAGTCCTGAGGCTGGGACTGGCGTAGGCTTTACTTCCTGTGCTGTGGGGCTGGGGCTGGGACTGGCGTAGGCCTCACTTCCTGTGCTGTGGGGTGAATGATTAACTGCAGCCCTGGCTGGCGCCTGGCACCTCCTGGAACTGTTTCTGGGGGAAGTGTTGCTCCCCGCTGAGGCTTCCTATTGGTGCCTTTGTCCTCAGCAATATTGTGTGGTTGATTTCTGCCTACTGGCACAGTAGGAGAGCTGGGAAGAGGGAATCAAGCCTGTCCCCAGTGTGTGAAACCTAGTGGCCACCATTTATTCATTTAAAAGCTAGGATGTGAGGGCCCCCTGTGGCCAGGAACCATGCCAGGCACTGTACAGTTGTGAGATCAGAAAGGCGGGCCCTGCCCTCCAAGGGCTTCCCTTCTAGCCCTTGGGTGCTCATCCCTGCTCGTAAAGATCTGGGAGCTTTTAGAAATGCCCAGGCCACCTGGTACCACTTACATCAGCCTCTGGGGGTGCCAGGGTGTCATGTTGTTTACAGTTCCCCAGGTGATTCCCCTCATTGTGGCCAGGGTTGGATGACAGATGGTGACAGATTTAGTACAGTTGTTCTTAACTATCAGGGGTGTCACTGACCTGGCTTACCTAATGCTTTCCGTTTCCTTGTGTGAAACTTACTGACTAATGCCCTTGGCATGCTGAACACTCACAGCAGTAGGCCAGTCTCTAGCACACCCTTGGCCTGCGGCTCCTTCAGTTAAATCAGATGCTTATCAAGAGTCAAGTTGGTTCCCAAACCTGTTCATGGCAGTTGTACTTGTAATTACATAATTGAATTTAACATCCCAGGAACCATCAAAGCAGCAATAATAGCTGAAACCCCAATTTTACATACGGGGAACAGGCACAGACAGGTTAAATAACTTAGCCAAGGTCATCAGCTAGTAAGTGAGTTGGAGTTTGAATCCACTGGCACAGTCTGAGCTCTGAAGCACCTGTGCTGCACCTCAGAGCGAGTAAATGAACAAGTTGTTTCTATAAATACCTGTTGACCACTTTGGGATGACTTTGGAATTACTCAGAGAATGTTTCTGTTGAAAAAGATGCAGACATGATAACTGAACATTGGGGACATTTTGTAAAAACCCAGATGGCTTTCACACTCAGATTCCTTTGCCTTTAAGTTCTTGCTCTGTTTTAAAGAAACCAAAACTAGAAAGTAACAATACAGGAACTCTGGTCAGCAAGCCCACACTCAGAGAAAGGTCAGGAAGACCAGCCTAGGAGTAAGAACGTGTATGTTTCCATTTAATGCGAGATGTGTAAGAAAATAATAAAATGAGATGTGTAGAGAACTTAGGTGTTTTTTAACAAAAGTTGCTTTAACCAGCTTTTTCAATTAATTGCTAGGCCCAATCGGATAATTTTTTTTTTTTTTTTTTTGAGACAGTGTCTCACTCTGTAGCCCAAGCTGGAGTGCAGTGGCGTGATCTCGGCTCACTGCAACCTCTGCGATTCTCCTGCCTCAGCCTGTATCACAGGCGTGTGCCACCATGCCTGGCTGGAAGGAAACTTTTTTTTTTTTTTGAGATGGAGTTTGCTCTTGTTGCCCAGGCTGGAGTGCAATGGCGTGATCTTGGCTCACTGCAACCTCTGACTCCCAGGTTCAAGCAATTCTGTCTCAGCCTCCTGAGTAACTGGGATTACAGGCCTGCGCCACCACGCCTGGCTAATTTTGTATTTTCAGTAGAGATGGGGTTTCTCTGTGTTGATAAGGCTGGTCTCAAAACTCCTGACCTCAGGTTATTCACCTGCTTCAGCCTCCCAAAGTGCTGGTATTACAGGGTGAGCCACTGCGCCCGGCCAGGAAACTTTTTTATACTCTGCCAAGTTTTGCAGTGAGATTCTTGTATCTATGGCTTTATTGTCGGTTTTATTTCATTTTACGTATTTTTTTTATTTTTGTAGGGACAGGGTCTCCCCATGTTGCCCAGGCTGGTCCCAAACTCCTGAGCTCAAGGATCCTACCTCATTGGCCTTCCAAAGTGCTGGGGTTACATGCATGTGATGTACTGTGCTGGCCTACTGTAGTTTCATTTTTTTTTTGAGAGGGAGTCTCACTCTGTTGCCCAGGCTGGAGTCCAGTGGCACAGTCTCGGCTCACTGCAGCCTCTGCCTCCCGGGTTCAAGTGATTCTCCTGCTTCAGCCTCCTGAGTAGCTGGGACTACAGGCATGTACCACCACACCTGGCCAAATTTTTTTGGGACTTTTAGTAGAGCTGGGGTTTCACCATGTTGGTCAGGCTGGTCTCAAACTCCTGACCTCAAATGATCTGCCTGCCTTGGCCTCTCAAAGTGCTGGGATTATAGGCATGAGCCACTGCGCCCAGCCCTATTGTAGTTTTTAATCAGGCATGACATACAGACAGTATGGCACACAGGTCTTCTGAGTAGAGTGCAGCCCTTTTGAGGAGCCAAGAGCAGCCTGTCCTGTGGTGGAAGCAGAGGCCACAGCTGGGGGTGGGCATGAAGAGGCTAGCGAGATGATTGTCGGGACCACTTAGGATGCTGCTGCAGTGATCACACTAAGCATTGATGGTGGTGTGGTCCGGCAAAGCACAGTGGCAGGAACAGAGAGGTGGTGGCCAAGTCAGATGTCCTCTAAACCTGAAACCAGCCTGATGGCCGCCCCCCCCCATGGCCCCCGCCTGTCTTCAGGCCGCCCAGGTCTGCAGCAGCTGTGTTTATTCTTTCCCATAGTAGGACAACTGCTGCCGCCTTTCCATGCCCATCTTCCCTAGGGAAGACTGGCACGAGGAGCTGCCTCTTGAAGGAGTGGGCCAGGCTGCTGTCAGAGAGCAGACCTGGTTTGTTAATCTCAGTGGGTTTGAAGCCTGAGAAGGAGTTGGCCCGACAGCTGGGCTGAGTGTGTGCCAGTTGGCCGAGGAGCAGGGAGTGAGTTCTATGACGGCAAGGACTGAATCCTGTGTGGGGTCTGCAGTTGTGCACCACTTGCCCTGGAGCGGCCACTCAGCCTGTCTGTGCCCAGGGCTGTCTGTGGTTCCCACCTCTCTGCAACTAGGCTGGAGAAGCAGAATATTTTCTAGCAAAGAGCCTCAGCCTCAGCCTCAGCCACCCTCCAGCAGGGCCATTCTTATGCTGATGAAAACTGGCTTATGGAAAAGTCACCCAGGAATTGGGCTGCTTCCCTGTTGGGGCATCTCCCAATCAGACAGCTTCCAGGGACCCTCCAGCCATTGGTGCTGGGAGGGAAAAATGCAGGGTTTCCTGTCTGTCCACTCCCCTGTGTTTTTCTGGGAGGGACACCTCATTGGGCATCACCCCAGTTCTTACCTGCTGGGTCCCACCCACTCCTGTGAAGGTTATTCTGAGACAAAGTTTGTTATGTGGGTGTTTTGGGTATAGGGTTGGTCACTGGAGGATAATGGAATTAGAGCCTTGTCTGTCCTGCACCCAGGAGGCCACGTTCTGGGTCGGGAGCCCTGGGTGTGGTGAGCAGAGGCTCTGGAGCCAGACAGGCGGGACTCAGGCTGGCTCTGCCGCTTTTCAGCTGGTTGAACTTAGACAAGCAAGCAAGCATCAATCCATGTCCTCATCTCTAAATGGGGGTAACAGTGTTCTCTTCAACATTGAGGTATTGTGATGAGTAAATGAGTTTATCTGCACCAGAGTGCTGAAGACAATGCTCAGTGTGTGTAAGCCCTCAGCAAATTTTAGCCATCTTCATCATCATCATCATCATCATCATCATCATCATTATTCTGAATCCTGTTCTTTGGAGGGAGCTGAGAATGGGCAAATTCTTGAATTTCTTTTCTACACTTCTCTGGGTCTTTAACCTAAACCTGTCAGGCAAGTCTGTGGACACCAGAAAGTGAAAGCAGACGGTGAGAGCTCCTCTTCCCTGCCTGCCACTGCCAGTGTAGCCTGGACTGCCAGCTTGAAATGGCACGGCTGTGGCAGGGGCTGGCATCCCCTCTCCATGACATGTTTCTCAGGTAGACAGGGCTCTGCTCCCAGGCAGCCAGAGCATGGCCATGCAGGGCAAAATGATAGAAGCATGTGAAAAACACAGACCTCTCGGCCAGGCTTGCTGCTCCCGCCTGTAATCCCAGCACTTTGGGAGGATCACCTGAGGCCAAGAATTCGGGACAGCCTGGCCAACATGGTGAAACCCCATCTCTACTAAAAATACAGAAAATTAGCTGGGTATGGTGGTGCATGCCTGTAATCCCAGCTACTCAGGAGGCTGAAGCAGAATAGTCGTTGAACGCAGGAAGTGGAGGTTGCAGTGAGCCGAGATCGCACCACTGCACTCCAGCCTGGGCAACAGAGCAAGACTCCCTCTCAAAAAAGAAAACAGAAAAACACAGACCTCGTGGCTCTGGAGAAGCCCTGGGGAGGTACCTCGGGATGCTCTGTTCGGCCCCATTGACGTTTCTGGAGCCCTGTGCCTCCCTTCCCCGCACTCCTGGCTTTGTAGCTGTAGCTGGAAAGTTCTCTGGAAGAAAAACTCAGCTGAACGGAGCAGGACCAGTTTTTAAAATGGGTCCCACTTCCCCTGGTTGGTCCCATGTTTCAAGGGGCAGATAGTTGTGGTTCATGTTGATGAGGCTCTTGGATATGGCCAGCACCGTGCTAAGTGCTAGACGCGAGTCATCTGCGTTTATTCTCACAGCACACCCCAGGAAGCAGTACCAGGATTTGCCCCATTTCACCGAGGAGGAATTAGGCTTAGGGAGGTTGAGTCACGACGCAGCTGACAGGGTGAGGGTGTGAGCCCAGACAGCACACAAGTGGGGGAGGGCCACCGGGTCAGCATGCAGATTACATTAGGGCCTTCCTCTGGCAGTTTTCGAAGACCCACCGTCCTGAGTACAGGCCAAAGAGCCAGGCAGTAAAGAGAGTTAAGTGCTATTCCTGAGCCTAGCTAGCCTAAGCCTCAGCCTGGCAGAGCTCGTTAGCAGCTAATGCATGACAGGAATTTCATGGCACCCTCCACTGGTCCCGTGGTGTTACCGCCTGTGTGGCACTCTTCTCTGTGTGGTTTTCCAGCTTTCATGGGCACAGGGAGAGTAGAGGCCACACCCCCTCTGGATGCACAGAGTTCAGCCCAACCTCAGGGGGTCTGGCACCACAGAAACACATAACCCAAAGGCTTTTACTTGGAAACGGGCAAATACTGGACTAGAATACTGACATGTTCACACGCTGGCAGAGTGCGGATGCAGAAGCTATTGCACAGAGCCTCTCTGATTGCCTTACTTCTCTTTGGCATGGATCAGTAGAGCCCCAAGGGCCAGTTGCTCACAGATGGGGACCCCTACTTCCTTGTTCTGTTAAAAAGCGCAAGTAGGCGAAGAAGCCTAGGCAGTTGACCCAGTCTTTGAAACAGTTGACTCCTCAGCACCCGGTATCCACAGGCAGGTGAGAGGTTTGCAGCTGTACCAGCCTGGTTTCCTTGGTAGGGCTCCAGGTGTCAGTGTCCAGGTACCTGGGCCATTTGAGAGCTGGGGCCAGGGGAGCCTGGTTTTGAGGGGGCGAGGGCTGCAGGGCCAGGCTGATGACCTGTGTCATGGCGTTGGCCGTCTCCTCTCCAGCTTCTCAGCCATCCCCCATCCCTCATGGTGGTGTCGGCTGTACCTGGACCTTCCTGCCTCTGTGCTCGGGGCAGCAGCAGTGAGTGCAGCAGCAGCTGCAGGCTATCAACAGCAGCAGCAGAACAGTGGCTGGAGGGCAGGGAGAGAGCAGACTCAGGTAGGGGAGAGAAAGGATGCCCACCCTCCTCCCAGAGAAACCTGCTGCGTGCTAGGGTCTTCCCTCACAGGTCTGGTGGAGGAGTCGGAAAGACCCGAGAGGCTGATGAGAGGTGTGGATGGTTCCCATGCCGGCTGCCTGGGCCAGCCTCCTCCCTGTTGTGTCTCCTCTTTCCCTTTCCAGGCCTGGCTCCTGTCATCCCTGCAATGGGGTCCTGGGGTGCTGCTGGGCCCAGTTCCCAGCACTGCCCATCATCGAAGCAGCATATCAGGGGATGAGGGAAGTCCCTTGGCTTCCTCCAAGGGACAACTGGCATTCCTCCTTGATCTGGGAGATAACTGCCGCCTCTGCCAGCCCTCTGGCTAGCACTATGGTGTGGTCTCTCTCAGATGCCAGGGTGAGCCATGGGGCGCTGAGTGCCCCGACTGACCTGTGAAAAGGATGATGACCGAGAAGGCCACGATCTCCACGGGCTCAGCCTGGGGCAGTCTCTGCAGCTTGAGCAGCAGCCTCTCGCCCACGGCTCGCATCTCCTGCACGAAGTTGGTGGTGGCCATGCTGTGCTGGCTTCCTGTCGGGGCTCCTGCCAGGCTGTGCCGGGGCAGAGAGAACAACTGGAGCTTCCACAGCTGGCCCCACACTAGCCGCAGCACCGAGATTCCACCCTCGCACCCATCCGCAGCCCGCAGAACGAGTTTGTCAGGTCTCACGCATTGCACCCCGGTGACTTCTACCTAGTGGTGGCCCTCAGTCCCCACTTAGCTGACACAGCCCAGGGTAGGAGAAGTTGGTGATGACAGTGAGACCGAGGGCTTGTTTCAGGGGCTGCCGGCCAAGGCCAAGGTTGGTGGTGGTTTCTGGCTTTTCTGTTGTGTTCCCTTGTCTTGAGGCACCACTCCTAGGTTTTGCCAGGGTGCTTGGGACTGCCACAGCTCCCTGCTGGCCGCTGGGTCCCTCGGGGTGGGAAGACTGGCATAGGATGCCAAGCTGGTACTCTTGCCTTCCAACAATATGGGGACAGAAGAAGTAGGTTCTCTCAAGAGCAGGTTCATAGGGCTTCTGGCCAGGGTCAGCAGAGGTGAAAACTGTCCCCGTCCCCCAGGCCCCCCCACCTCTCCCACCAGCCCAGTTTCTGCACTCATGCATGTTCTCCTGTGGGGGAGAGGGCCCCCCACCTCTTCCATCAGCCCACTTTTCATACTCATGTGTGTTCTCCCAAGTGGGGAGAGGACACCCTACCTCTCCCACCAGCCCAGTTTCCACAGTCATGTGTGTTCTCCTGTGAGGGAGAGCCTCCCCGCACCTCTCCCACCAGCCCAGTTTCTGAACCCATGCATGTTCTCCCAAGGGGAGAGAGGCCACCCCAGCTCTCCCACCAGCCCAGTTTCCACGCTCATGTGTTCTCCATGGTGGAGTGGCCGAACCATGTCCCTCCAGGTTTTGCCAGGACTCTGTCCTGTCTGCTGGGAGGGTGTCAGGAGGCCCAGGCTGCTCAAGTCAGCTCCTCCCTGCTGGCTTCACCTGTTTCTCTAGCCTGACCAGGAAAGTCCTCTCCACTCCCACCCCTGCCCCAGGAGAGCCTCTTCCTGTCTCAGGGTGCCTGAGAGGCCCAGGGTGCAGCTCCAGGCTGAGCCTGTCTGGGCTGTTGTGTCTTTGAGCCACTTTCCTCTTCTGCCTCTCCTGTGGGCGTGAGGGAGCTGGAGCCTCTTTAGAGAGAGACCAGAGACAGCCTTGTCCCACCCCAGCATAATCCAGGCAGTTGCTTGAAACCCGGGGTGGGGGGGGCAAGGTGGCAGGGGCGAATGCCAGACTTTGGCTGTAATGATTGTGGCCTCGCCCAGGTCTCAGCCGGTTCTCCCTGAGCTGGCTGCAGGCAGTGAGGCTGGTCCCTTCTGGTGCTGCTGCCTTGGCAGAGCTGGTTTAGAACCACTGTGAAGGTCATTGAACAGAGCCCTCTACCCTGCACTTGGCCTGTGTGTGGGCTTTGCATGAGCACCCAGGATGGTGAGGAACCCCCGCCTGCTGAGGCAGGCCACCTCCTGCAGAAGGTTGGATCCCCTGCTGGACCCCAGTTTGTCCCACTTGTGCTCACTTAGACCTTGTGCCGCCTTCTGCCTCATAGTCCTTCAGGAGCAAGATGGCAGCCGTGTACCTTCTGGATTTCCTTCTCTGCAAGGGGACGTGCGTGAATGTTTTCAGCTGTCTTCCTTGAATGCCACCTCCACTTCCTTTTTCGACATGAACAGGTTGCTTCATGTCTCTGATATGGAATGAGATGCTGGTGTTTTGAGGCTGTTGGGAGGACCATCTAGCAGCACATTGTAGACAGTCACGGGGTGGGGGGTGCCCAGCACATGAGAATGCCCCTGTGGGAGTGGTCTCACTGGCTTTGGGGGCTATTACCCCCATGCACCATCACTAGCACCCGGAACACCTTTTGGGTGTTTGTCCTAGGGCATCTGTGGTGTGAGTAGTGAAGGAAGGTAGGCGAGCTGGAGGTGGAGAGTTGTTTTATGCTTTTTTTTTTTTTTTTTTTTTTTTTTTAGATAGAGTCTTCCTCTGTCACCCAGGCTGGAGTACAATGGCATGATCTTGGCTCACTGCAACCTCTGCCTCCTTGGTTGAAGCGATTCTTCTGCCTCAGCCTTCTCCCTAGTAGCTGGGACTACAGGCACCTGCTGCCACACCCAGCTAATTTTTGTATTTTTAGTAGAGATGGAGTTTCACTATTGGCCAGGCTGGTCTTGAACTCCTGACCTTGTGATCCACCTGCCTTGGCCTCCCACAGTGCTGGAATTATAGGCGTGAGCCACTGTGCCCAGCCGGGAAATTTTTTTAAGGGATGATGGGGGTGACAGGCAGAAGATGGCGCCGTGGAAAATTAGATGAGTTCTTGTCAGAAGCAGGAGGTTCCCTGAGTTAGATCCACCCAGCTTCTCACACTTCACCTGTGGTGAGTGTGTTTCTGCAGAGGTGAGGATCCCAGTTTTCAAGTGTACTGACAGGCATAGGGTCCTAGAATGCCACAGGTCATCCGTTCCCACCGCCTTCCTTCTACACATGGGGAAACTGAGACCTGAGAGAGCAAGTGAATTCTCTGAGTTTACACAGCAGGACAGGGGCCCAACCAGCACCCCCACTGGTGCCCCATGCTATCTTTCAGTGGAGGCCTGTCTTCAGCTTAGACCAGCTAGATAGGAGAGCCCCCTGAGGGCGCTGCTTGTGCAGTGGGCTCAGTGCAGGAGCCAGGGCCCCAGAGCCCTCTGGAAGCCAACTGGCTGTGCTTGCCAGCCCCGGCCCACACTTGTGGATCTGAAGCCGCTTTTATCAGCACATCACCACCAGGCTGGGCCCACACTAGGCTCTTTGAGACTACCTGGAGTCTTTGTCACCACAGGTACAGGTCTTGTGTGCCTAGCCAGCCTATGCGAAGGACTGTCCCTTCTGGTCAGGCCAAACGGGACACTCCCTCTGGCCCAGTGGAGCAGGCTTGCACAAGGACAGTGGTCCCCTCTTGGTTCTGGGACCTCCATGCCATCCTCACTCCCCAGCTTTCCGGGCTCTCTCATTCTTAGAGGGATCATGATGCTGACCATATCCCTTGTAGGACAGTTTGCACATGGCTCAGAAGCTGGGCTGCCTTCCTCCTTTCCCTCTCTGTCTACATTTGCTCTGGTGTTTTCAGCCTTATTGGCATTGTGCCCACACGGCCTAATGTAGCCCAGCAGAGACACTCCTTAAAAGAGGAAGCGGGCAGGCGGTGGGAGGGCAGGGAGAGCTTTTTCGCTTGTGTGCCACACCCAGAGACGCAGGGAGAGATTGCGGGGGGAGCTTTTCCTTGTGAGTGAGAAGTGGCATGGAGACCTGGAGTCATGCTCACCAGAGCAGGGAGGGTGGTGGTTGGGCTGAGGCTGAATTTACTGTGCAGGAAAAGTGGGGTTTGTTGCTGAGAAGCTCCAGCCGGCCTCCAGGAGCTGCAAAATGGGGAGCTGCAGACTCATGCCAGGTGGACCTCAGCCCCCAGCCGGGAAAAGTGTCAGTTCCCACCAGCAGCAGGCTGTGGCTAGGGGGAGTGGCATAGCTTTGCACCCAGGGCTTCCCTAGGGGGCTGACTGGGAGCTGAGTATGCCAGCCAGGCATGGACAGCCTTATCCAGCCTTGGGGGTCTGATCAGGGCTGCTCACGGTATCCTGTCCCTCAGTTAGCAGAAGTGGGGTCATTGGACATGGCCGTTCTGCCCCCAGAGGGCTGGAGAGGAACCCCAGGAGCCCCTTTGCTTTGCAATTGATACCTTGTCATTTGGAGCATAAGCCTGTGGCTGAGCCTTCGTGGGGTAGGTTGGGGAGCTGAGGGGTCTTGTTCTCTAAAGAGGAGGAGGCACATTCCAGCCGGTCCCCAGGCGGTCTTCCCAGTGGGCTATTTAAAGCCAGGCCAAGGGAGTGCCTGATGCTTGGTGCCCAATATAACCAGCAGCCGTCAGGTGACTGTGTGGCATGTGCCCCAGCCGCTGCTCCTAAGGGAACCTTGGTGTTCCCAGCTGTGGCGGGCGGAATGTGGGAGCTCTGAGGCTGGCCACCTCCCCTCTCCTTTCCCTTCCTAGGTTCAGCAGGAGGAAGGCAGGGAAGCCCAGAAGGGCTAGTTACGATTCTGTATTTTTCCAGTCTTTCTATCTCAGGTTCAACTAACTCCTTCCAAAACCACACTTCCCACCTGTGAACCAGGGCAACCAGAGTCCGTCCCAGCCCCACACTTGGTAGTGCCTTGGTTGGAGGTTTCTCAGGGGTTCCTGAGTGGCTGCCAGAGCAAGTGGTGGCTTCCTCTGGCCCTAAGAGGGGATGCAGCCCAGCTGCCTCCAGGCCCTCCTGCTGCCCAGGCAGCCCAGCTTGGAGCCTTCAGAGGGTGCACCCTGACTGCAGTAGCAGGCGGCACAGGGGAAATGAGCAGGGCGAAGGCTGGCAGAGCTGGAGGGACGGGAAGCATTCCTTTGTGTGGCATCTCTTGGCACGTGGAGCCTTGCAACAGAGAGGCAGGCATCCTGCAGGCCAGACAGCTGCCACTCGGTCCTGAAGCTTCCGTGCTTCCTCCCCGCAGAGCTGATACTCCAACCCCAGGCACCCCACGAGGAAGGGCTGGCAGCAGGCGGCATGTTTGAGACTGATAAGCGAGGTGTGCTGGTGGCGCAGGGCCCCAGAGGCTGTTTGCTCTGCCCTGTTGTTTCGTCATGGTGGGTTTCAGCCACCCTTGCCCTGCCAGGCATTATCTTGTTTGAGGTCCAGCTAGAAAGAGGCATAACTGCCACTTGTGGGAGATTTGCAGGGTCCGGTGCCTGAGCAGCCAGGGGAATGCCCCTGTCTGTGGCACTGAGCCTTTGGGTGACTCCCCTTTCTGCCCTGGCTCCAACTGAAAGTAGAAAGTGGTACTTGAACGCCTGGCATGCCTTGTTCCTGTAGCCACCCAGGGCAGGGGGAAGCGCTTTCTGCTGCTGGTGTTAGAAACAGTAGGTGCTCCTTCTGCAGCTACAGAAGTTGGCCATTTATTCCCCCTCTGTCCTGGTTCAGGGACTGTGTTGGAGGGACCCTGTCTACTTGTGTCCTATGGATGTAGGACAGGGATCCCCACCTGCCTGCCTGGGGCATCTTGAGCGATAGCAGCGGGGTCTCCAAGCTCACCGATGTGCCCCAACTGCCACCTGGCCTGACCCTTTCCCTACTGTGCGCCTCCCAAACACTGTAGGAGTTGGTCTCCCCAGGCACCAGCCCCAGCCAAAGCCCCAGCCTCTGCTAAGCCCAGAACACTTGGACTGATCCTTGGTTTTCACATTTCCCTAGGTCATTGTTTTTCGTTCTTACTAGATGCCAGCTTGTTTGCTTTGAGGAAAATGTATGGGGGTTGGGGGTGGCTTTAACGCTGGCTTGAGGACAGGGAGGCAGGAGGATATCCAGGAGGGCTGCTCCTGGTGCTTCCCAAAGAACCAAAGAGCCAAACAGCCGGGCCCTGCTTCCTTAGGGCCGGTGTCACAATCAGCCTGTGCATCACGGTGGCACAGCAGAGGTCCTAGATGCCGGCATAGTCCCTCCTAGCCTCACTTCTGTGACCTCCCCACCTGAGCCTGGGTTGAAAGTCAGTCATCCAGGTTCCTGGTTTGGTGTTCAAGCCTCATTGCCAGAGGGAGATCTAGGGGCTTATAGGGTTCTAGATGGGCCCAGGAAGGAGGACCAAGGCTGAGCCCTGAGCTGAGAACACCTGGCAGTGAGTGGGCCAAGCCCCCGAAAAGACACAGATGGGCAGAGTCCTGCTGCATCCTGGGGGCGCCGCACGCTGGCTGGGCAGACCCTTCACTGACCTTCTCGACTGAGCTCTGCCCTAATCCCGGGAAAAAGGGAGGCTCAGCAGGCCAGCAGTCGTTCTCTCCGAAGCCGGACAGCAAAATCCCGCTTTTAAGCCCCCTGAATAGAAAGAGCTGAATGAACTTGCAGAGTAAGCAGGCCCTGGGGGCCCCTCTGGCTGCACAGCAGGCGGAGGGGGAGGCGCTCTGAGCAGAGCCCCCAGCGCTCCCGTAGCGCAGGGTCCCAACAGAAGGGACAGCGTAGGTGCATGCAGGAGGCTGCCCGACTTCCCTGTAGGGAAGTGACCCGGCGTGTCTCCCAAGACCTCCTCTCTGTGTTTATGGTGGACTGTGGCCCTTCACCCGGGGGCAGGAGACACTTGCTGCTCCCTCCCTATCCCCCCATCTTCTGTGGCCAGTGCCACTCACCTGGGAGCTCAGGTGTTGGGGGCCGAGCAGCAGCGCCCCAGCGTGGAGCCTCCTTGTGCTGTCCTCGTACTTCCTCCGTGGGTGCCGCTGCTCCCCTGGGCACCTCAGTGCAGCTCCTCTGCTGACAGCCAGCTGCTGTCTCTGCCTGGCTTTTTTGTTGTCAGTCGTCCTGGAGATCCAAGTGTCAAATTACTGTCGCGAGGGGGAGCCCGAGGAAGCCCTGCTTGGGAACTTGTCCTCCAACTTCATGGCCCGGTGCCTCACCTCTGCCCTGGGAGGGCTGCCTGGGGACAGGACGAGCTCCCTCTTTTCTCCTCCTTCTCCTCCTTTCCTCCTCCTCTCCCTCTCCCCTCCCTGTCCCCTCCCTCTCCCCTCCCTGTCCCCTCCTTCCCCCCTCCCTCCCACGCTGTGGGCTGGGCCTGGGCTGGGAGCTGAAGAAAGAAGTCGGCTCTCTGCCTCCCTGGCCAGGAGGACCCTGGGGAGGTTCCACCTGAGCCTGTGGAGGGGAGTCCTGCATCGCTCCCAGCTCTGGGCCTCCCACCTCGCCCTTGGGAGGACCACTCCTTGTGTCCCTCAGGCCACTCCCTGGCTGGTCACTCTCTCTGGCCTCAGGAAAAACAGTAAGCAGTGGGGAGTTGGCGCCCCCCACCCAGGCTAAGCAGGAGGCTTTGCAGCCAGCCCTTGGGGGGCCCTTGTGCTGCTCAGCATCCGAAGGCATCTTGGGGAGAACTTGGAATCCTGAGTGACCCGGGAGTGGCCTGCGCTCCCGGCAAGGTGCCTCATGTTCCTTGTGAGAGGAGGGCCTTCTGCTGGGGTTGTGGCCACGCTCCTGGCCCGGCTGTCAGGGCAGGGCTCCAGAGTCCAGGGGCTGGGCCTTGTGACATTTGCCTGGTTGTGCCATCCAGCAGGCCAGGCTGCGTGGAGAGAAACCGACCCCAGTCTCGCAGTCAATGGAGCTCTTTGAGTCCAAGCACAAAACCCCAGTGAGTCAGGGCTTTGGGAGGGCAGCAGGGAGGAAGCCAGCCATGTGGCCACACCACTTGGATGCCGGAGCCTCCTAGAGGCTGAACAGGCAGCCACTGTGCAGCTGTGCAGACGCACAGACTCTTGCGGATGTACCATTTGTCGCATTTACTCAGCGGAGCAGAGTGGGGGCAAGAGCGCACTCTGGTGGCCACCTCAGCTGTCCCAGGCCATTCAGGTTGGGCCTCAGAGCTGTGTTCACTCAGCTAAAGGCAAGTCAGCCAGGCCCTGCTTCCTCAGGGCAGTGTTGCAATCAGCCTTGGATCCTTGAGCGTGTGCCTTGGGGTCAGAGCCCCTCAAAGGGCTTCTTGAAGCCCCAGCAGTGCTTACACTGAGAGGAGTGCTAGTTAGAGTAGTTAACGCCAGCTATTCTTGTCCCTGGGATGTGGCACCCCAGACAGCCCTGCCTCTGTTCTGTCATCTCCTCTTGGGCCACCACGTTCTTGGTGGCAGGAATGGCTATTTGTAAGGAGCCTGAGAGAGCTGTGGCACCTCTTGTGGCCTCTGCACCTGCCTCAAGAATTGACAGCCACCCCCATACATAGGGATCAGAGATGCGACAGAGCCTCTTGGGCCAGCCAGAGGCTGCTCCTGGCTCCCAGCATGGGCAGAGGCCGCTCACCCCCGGAGGGCTGCAGCAGGGTTGAGGCAAAGGAAGACGAGAGGAGGACTCCAGGCGAGGCTCTGTGTCCCCCTGGCTGAATGTCCCCACCTGTGACCGCTCACGGTCCCACCCTTAGGGGTTTATGATGGGACATATTACTATACAGCCATGCCTGCCTTAGCAATGCAAGTATGTTTTGAGAAATTTAATCTGTCATTGTGTGGTCAGAGTGTACTTACGGAAATCAAACGGCAATTCCAGGGAGAAGGAGGAAAAAAAAATCAAAATGGCATAGCCTCCTACACACCTAGGCCATGTGGTAGAGCTTATTGCTCCTAGACCACAAACCTGTACACCATGTTACTGTGCTGACTACCGTATGCAGTTGTAACAGTGGTATTCGCATGTCTAAACACATAAACGTAGAAAAGGTACAGTAAAAATACGGTGTTAGAATCTTAGGGGATCACCGTTGGATATGCAGTCACTTCAGTTCATGACATCCTTTCATCCATCAGCGCTCAGCCCGTGAGGCCTGTGCCTTCCTGCACCATTTAACTGATGGGAATGCATGGGCTGTAGGAGGTGAAATGTGTCACCAAAAGGACACAGCTTTCTTGGCAGAGCCGGCATCTGCACCCGGAGCCTGAAGTCTGCAGGATGTCCCATTGCCAGACGACAGAGGGGAGCTGCAGAGGCGTAACTAGACAGAGTGAGGTTCACATCCTGCTTCCCAGGAGACCCCATATGTTACATGACTTTGGGAAAGTTCATTCACCTCATTGTCCTCATCTGTGAAGTGGGCAGAGCCGAACGATGCTTGGTGTGGCTCCGATGAGATGAGGCGTGTGAGGCGCCTGGCATGGTGGCAGACATGGCAGTGCTTGCTTGGCCAGCGATTAAGGCTTGGGTGAACAGACACCAGCCAGCTGGGCTCTCCACCCCTCACCTCTGTGGTGCTGCCTGCTCCAGGTGCCGCCATGCCGCCATTGCCAAGTACTTCGGGGATGTTCCGCCTGCCTGTGCTAAAAGCTGCGACCACTGCCAGAACCCTACAGCCGTGCGGAGGCAGCTGGAGGCCTTGGAGCGCAGCAGCACCTGGAGCAAGACGTGCATCGGGCCCTCCCAGGGGAATGGCTTTGACCCTGAGCTGTACGAGGGAGGCCGCAAGGGCTATGGGGGCTTCAGCAGGTAAGGGGCCAAGAAGCCAGGGATTCCCAACCCACTGGAATCCTCTGCATTCCCTTGGCGACAAGGCCAGACCAGAGGTGGCAGTCCCCCCTCGAGCTGCTAGGACACTGGGGACATCGCCGTCCCAGCAGCAGCACACATGGGCAGAAACAGAGTCCAGGCCAGCACCACTCACGCCTGGCCTGTCCCTAGGTACGATGAAGGTTCTGGAGGCAGTGGGGACGAGAGCAGAGATGAGGCTCACAAGCGGGAGTGGAACCTCTTCTATCAGAAGCAGATGCAGCTGCGCAAGGTGAGGGGAGGTGCTCGGTGCACCTGCTCACAGCCTCTTAGCCTGCTCTGCTGCTGGATGGGACTATCCTGCGGCAGGGCAGGACGCCTCATGGGCCCTTCATGTTGTCTTCCAGGGCAAAGACCCCAAGATAGAAGAATTCGTACCCCCAGGTCAGTACAGAAATGTTCCTGGAGGCTTGCAGGCTCTTCCCAGGGCATAGAGGGAGGATTGTCACCTGGGGTGTGAGGGACTTCAGAGAGCAGAAGGTGGAGTGGAAGGAACCCCCCCTCCCAACTCCCCACAGATGAGAACTGTCCCCTGAAAGAGGCTTCTAGCAGGAGGATCCCCAGGCTGACTGTGAAGGTAAGAGACGGGCAGCTCCTCAGCCACCCCCCAGGGCCCTCCCCCAGCCCCAGGCCATGTGACCAACTTCATTCTCCTGTGCCAGGCTCGGGAGCACTGCCTGGGGCTTCTAGAGGAGGCGCTGAGCAGTAACCGCCAGTCCACACATACCACTGATGGGTGAGTTCCACAATCACCAGACTGAGGAGCCCTCTAAGCTCTCGTTCCCTTGGAGACTACAGGACCCTGTCACCCCCAGTACCTCACCAGGGCCAGGAATGGTCACAACTTAGGTGCCGCCAGCAGCTGCTGAGGGACAGTAAGCCACAGGGTGCCCAGAGAGTCCTCTTCAGAATCTCTGTGCCCAAGGCCCTCCCCAGGCCCCGAGTCCCACAGGAGCTCGGCAGGGAGAGCCCCAGGCCTGCCTGATACCGTGTACCTGTTACCTTGCACCCCCAGAGCTGACCTCCGGGCCCAGGCCATGGAGCTGGAATATGAGACCTTCCGGAACGCCAAGGTGGCCAACCTATACAAGGCCAGCGTGCTGAAGAAGGTGGGCCTGGTGCAGGCAGACTGAGGGTCGTTGATGGGGCACCGCCACACTCTGAGGCAGAAGCTGTCTGCCAGCCATCTGGCCACAGGCAGCCCAGAATCCACCCTCCCTAGTCCACCCCAGAGGCAGTTCATGGGGGTAGAACTCCATTCTCTGGTAGTGGGAGGTTTTTCTAGTCAACCCTGTGAGCATGCGAGGATTAAAACTTGCCCAGGGTTGGGTGCCTGCAGCCACTGGCCACAGAAACCCACTTCTAGTGCCTAGTGGAAAAGGAGGTCTGGATGGGGGCTGTCAGGGGGAACTAGCAGGTGCCACAGCCTCCCTGCCCATTCCTGCCCAGGTGGCCGAGATTCACAGAGCCTCCAAGGATGGGCAACCCTATGATGTGGGAGGCAGTGCCAAGAGCTGCAGTGCCCAGGCTGAGCCCCCAGAGCCCAACGAGTATGACATTCCACCAGCCTCCCATGTGTACTCGGTGAGCTGGGGCCCAGGGGTCCCCAGACCCGTGGCCAGGAAAGGCTCCACTTCCCCTCTACCTTCGGGGAGTGTACCTCTTGCTGTGGCCTGGCTCCCCAGCAGGGCCCTGCCTGCCTCTTTCCTCCTACCTCCTGAGAGCCCCGCCCCAATGTAAGTGACTGGTCCAGCCAGTGGTTCCCTAGAGGGGGCCTGGTGGGCTGAACTTCCTCTCCTGTTCACATTTACAGCTCAAACCCAAGCGGGTGGGAGCTGGTTTTCCCAAAGGCTCTTGCCTGTTCCAGACAGCCACGGAACTGATGGAGACAACTCAAATCAGGGAGCAAGCCCCCCGGCTTGAGCGGGCAGGCGAGCACAAGTCCCCGAGCCCGCCCTGTGGCCTCCTGGATAAGGATAGGAGTGAGCCCCTTCCTGGGCCCAGAGGGGAGGTCCCTGGAGGCAGCGCTCACTGTGGGGGGCCCTCCCCTGAGAAGAAGGCAAAAAGTTCCTCCAGGGGCTGTTCCCTTGCCAAGGGCCGGGCTAGCAAGAAACAGCAGCTCCTAGCCGCATCGGCCCACAAGGATTCTCAGAGCATCGCCCGCTTCTGCCGAAGGGTTGAAAGCCCAGCTCTGCTGGCATCAGCCCCAGAGGCAGAAGGTGCCCACCCCTCCTGTGAGGGGGTTCAGGGATCCCCAATGGCCCCAAAGACGTGCACAGGGGAGGAAGATGGAGCCGGGGGACATTCGCCTGCCCCTCCCCAGACTGAGGAGTGCCTCAGGGAGAGGCCAAGGTAAGGGTACAGGTGGTCGTAGACTCTTGTGGAATCCACGTGGCAGCATCCCCTTTGCTCACTGGGCCTCTGAAGCTCAGAGCTCATCCCTAAGATGGGCTCTTCTAGGATGAA